CACTACATTAATAATTATGATATACATGAATGAATAACCAGGCAACAAAATATAATGTCATTCCCGTTTTTTCTGCCTGGTTTTCACCAAATGTATATATGTGTCTAATCCCTACACTCCATCACCACTGATCCATAGTTTGCCTGTAAGGGTCATTTAATTAGCTCTGAATCCATAATAGTTAAATGAATTCACACATATCCCTTCGGTGTCGCAGGTTCACGGTCAAACCAATTCCCCAAATGAAATTACACTCAATTTAAATAATTCAAATGAGGGAAATTATAATCTCGGGCAATTACACATCTTCAAGATCAGAGGAAGTTGAATTAATGCACTTACTGATGCATCTATCACACAGTGATGATTAAATATCTCTCCTGGATGGGGTGCTGCCTAAATTGTGGATCGTGGTTTATTTACAATATGATCGTCTCAGTAAATATTAGCCGCGGCAGCTTGTGGTCCTCTTCACTGGTCCCACTATGTTTTAATGTGATTGGGATTCAGTCCCAGTCCGAGATGAGCTTTCATAATGAGTCTAATAAAGCCAGTCTTTACACAGAGGCTGACTTAAGCCTTTATCTGCAAAGATACTTATTAAGATAGGAGCTCCTTATCACAGCGGCACACGGACAAATCTCTCTATGTGGCTGTGTGCTCATGTGTGAGTGAGCATGTGATTCTGTGTGTGTGTGTGTTCATGACTTATAAAGGTCTATGCACGCTTCACGTAGCATCAGAATTTATTTTTCAGGGTCTCCTGCTGTGAATGTGGCTTTCAGAGATTCTTCGTTTGAACCTTTTCTTTTTCAAAGCTGTGGTTGAGAATTAATGAGCTGGCAATAATGAACTCTTGGATTCCAAGGAGGGAAAAAATGAAAGAGAAAGAGAGAGTGCGAGAGAGAAAGAAAAGAGAGAAAGAGAAGGTGGTCGGGGATGAAAAAACTGAGGCATTAAAGATGAATAGAGAAGCAAAGACTGTGGCCTTGAATGACTTGAACTCACCCACACACCCACACACACACTCACGAATACACACTCTCTTGCTGGTGTTTGTGAATGGAATCAGGTGTAGTGCAAAGAAACGTCCACTAGAGGGCAGCAAAGTATCTGTCAAGGCTTTGCATACTGTAATGACAGTATGGTGAAAGGTTAAAGGTCACAACAGCTTGTCATTTCAAGTGGTGACACATTTGATAGAAAGATGACTGACACACACACACACACACACACACACACACACACCCTCAAACACCATTCACACATTTCCAGACTAGCACCTTCACATCAGATTCAGCATATTGTGCCAGACTTCACACTCTTGCGCACGCGCGCACACGCACACACACACACACACACACACACACACACACACAGTACACAGACAGTACCATCCCCTCTCCTGTCTGTAAACATGGCCTGGATGTTTCTCTCTGCCTCCTGCTGCTCTCCCTGCATTATGGATTAACTCTTTGTTACAGGTGTACACAACATGTTTGTGTGTTTAGTGCCAACTGGGTCATCTAGCTGGATGTTTGTGAGGAGCAGGAGCCTCGTCTACACTCTGCCATGACTCCACTAATCCTCTTGATAACTGCAAACATGAGCTGCTGGTACTTATCTGTTCCACGTTCAGCGCATTTTGTGTTACGGTGTTTTAGTGCATACTGTCCCTCGAGCACACCTTGTTTAACCTCTGCTTCAGACAGTTTCCACCATTCCCCAGAATGCTCAGCCACGGTTTATATCCTTTTATATGACTATGTCCTCCTTTCCTTACTCTTCTTCCTTATATGTTGTGTGTGTTTTGGATTAAGATTTAGATCTCAAAAAACCTACCCGATTCAACATAAAAAAGACCGACAGTGACGGAGATAGTGAGAGCAAGATGACAAGTTTTCCTAGCAGTGACTCAAACCTCATCCCACTCTTATGACTACACTGCATTCAGGTCTATTTGTTGCCACTGTGGATGCTGAAATTGCTCTCCCCGCCTCTCATATAATGGATTTTTCTCCCTCTATTATTGTTGAAAGTTGGTGCAAAATGGCAGCTCCGGAAAGATGGCTTTGGGTGAATGGACTTTCCCTTATTATGAGACTTAAGTAAAGAGTCTCAACATTATTGCTCCGAAGACGTCTGTGAAAGCACCAAAATCATATGGCAGCCTCCACATCTCCAGAGGACCTTGTCGCATCTCACTCTGCCCTCAGAGCAGATTGGGTTCACACTGAGGACCAACACTGTCTGTGCACCAAACCCACCGAGGGTTGGACCCGCGCTGACAGTGATGCAGCGTCCTCTCCAGCAATTCTGCCTCTCAGGCTTTCCTCTAGTTCTGTCAGTCCCTGGGGTGAAGTGCAGCAGACACAGCAGAGAAATGAGGACGACAGAACTGAGCGATGAGACAACTAACAGTGCTCCCTGTATTACACGGATATCTAACCACAGACTATCAGAGAAACTGTGATTTTCTTTCAATCCAAAGAAGGGCAATAGTGCAAAAGATGTGAATACAAACTATTTGTTTTGTGGCTTTGGTTTGTTTTGACTTCCTCTGTTTAAGTATAGGTGTTTTGTCTTTTTTTTTTTTTGAAGAACATTGTTTTGCATTTGCTGCACATACTGAATCAGATGAGCACCAACCTGCCACTTTGGTGTAGACATCATATTTTGGCACAGCACAGGGTGCACCCCTGAAAGCCTCTGATTGTCACAGTGTCGGCTTAACTGAAAATTTGATTCCTACTTTTTTCTTTACAAAGAAATGAGATCTGCTCCTTTCAAACACCATAGTCTACAGAAAGGCATATAAATTAAAGGAATACTTCATCCACCAGTCAAGCATTTGAGTATCAATTACTCACCCTGTGTTACGTTGAATTGGTAAAGAAAATTTTGTTGTTCTCGCACGCGTCTGGTGAACATTGAATCCAAAACACTAAGAAAAATGAATTATAGTGATATGCCACCATGTTTAACACCAGCAAAACTCTATCTGTTTACAAACTCACACAGCTCATGAAGTATAATCCAAGTGTCATCTATCCAGGTGTACGCTCAGTGCTTCACAAACAGACAACCCTTTCTGACACGAACTGAAATAAAAGTGAATCTTATCTATGCTCTCTACAAAGACAGACTCCATTGACAAAAACAGTAATTTTACCTCGCTGAACACAGGAGCTGCTGGTCTACAGCTGCCTTATCACTTAGTTTGTTTGTGCTATTGTATGACTTTGCTGTTTTAAAGAGTTAGTTCGGAGTTACTAACGTAACACATATGCACAAACAAACTAACTGATTGAGGCAGCGGTAGACCAACAGCTCCAGTGTTCAGTGAGGTAAAATGACTGTTTCTGTCAATAAAGTCTGGCCTTTAAAAGAGCATAAGTTTAACTTTTAATTAGGTTCCCTGTTGGAAAGAGTTGTCCGTTTGGGAAGTACTGATCATACGACTAGATAAATTACACTTGTTTATACTGCAGGAGTTGTGCGAGTTTGTAAATGTCTTAATATAGTTTTGCTTTTGTTAAATGCCGACCCCCATCACTTTAATTTACACGAATGTTCTCTATTGTGGGATTCTTTGCTCATGAAAGAGGAATGCCCGAAAAACAAGATTTTCTTCACTAATTCAACGTTAACAGGGTGAGTAACTGGTATTTAAATGATTATTTTCAGGGTGAAGTGCTTCTTTAGGTTTATCTATTTGTATTTGTCACTGTATAAATCAATCCTGATGTGGACAACATGTTTTTAAGCAATTATTGCCTAATAAAATGAGCCAACCAACATACTGTATGTACAGTTGGGTAGTTAAACGGCGCAATTTACAACCACAATAAAAACAGCAGCTGAAAGGTGATTCCCTAGTCTAAACATTCAGAAAACACACACACACACACACACACACACACACACACACACACACACGCAAACACACAGTCAGCAGTACTGGATTTCAGTATATGGCTGCAATGTTCACATCACTGCCGCTGGAAGGTCAAGGGTTAACCCAGCCGAGGGTGAAGACGGCTGCTTCATCAGCACCACAGGGATGGAGAGAGGGAGAGAAAAAAGGACAGGGAGGAGAGGGAGAAAGTCACGGAAAGTAGGTCAGTGAGAAAACGTGATTAGCCACTAAACAAACGACACCAGCAGCGGTCGCGTGCCGTGTCCAGCAGCACTGGACTTCTGTATCCTCCCTTCACGCAATCATCATCATCATCATGGATTCAAAACTGCCTCCTGAATAACGGTGTGCTGGATGCCTCAGTTGCTCCAAGTCACGCTTACTGTAAAGACAGGTTGCCAAGTGTGCACATGCTGGCTCTCTAACACACACAAACACAGACACCTCCTTCCCCCTCACTGCCTTACATGGCATTGGAGCGATCCCTCTCGCCGCTGCAGCCGTTTGTGTGGGGTTGCTAAGTGCAGCCAATATTTCACACAAACACAGCAAAACAGCCACCCTGATATCCTGCTACGCTGCCATCCTGGACAGCAGAGACACAGCCTGCTCCGTCTCCTTCCAGGAAAATCACTGAATTTGGCTTTGTGTTTCTGTTATGGCAAATGGAGCCAGAGAGAGTAATAAAAAGTCTGTGTATTAATTTACACAAAATGATTATTCAAAGAGCTGGCTGTGAAAACGAGAGGCACAGAAACACAAACACACTGACACAAGCTGAAGTAAGTGATGACAACTGATATTGTTGCAAAGAAATGGCAAAGTGACTTTTCATGCAGAGACTAATTGTCTTCACATGTTGTTGCCTGAGAGTTATTGACTTAGGACAGAAACTGACAATTTAAGAGGACAGAGCTGCACAAGTTTGCCTCATATCACAGCTTCTTTAAGAAGGCAGTGAGCCTTAGATAGTGGCTTGACTGAGTAATAAGTTAAAGTACTTAGGTGGACAGAGATCTAGTGAAAAGACAAAAAGACAATGGGTGTTTACAGTGTTTATACGACAGTTTTACATCCTGACCTTCCTGACCATCCTGTCTTCTCCATCCTCCGACCCCGGTGTGATGCTTCTTGGGGGTTCTGCGCCCACCTGCTGGCCCAGTGAAGGTATGTGGGTCTTGAGGGGTGCCTGAGGCAGAGCTAGAGCTGACGGCCTGCTGTGGGTCTGGGGGATGGGCAGGGCGCTGTGCACCGGTTTGGGTTTGGGGAGTCCTGATTTCATCTTTGAGGCCACCAGGATGGCTGGCATCTTCTCCCCGACCGCCTGATGACCGCACACTCCACTCCCTCTCGCACCAAGATGGAAATTCAGTTACTAGTCAGCAAGACTCCTCACATATGGTCCAGCTATTTGTGTGAAGGTGTGACCAGATTGAAGAAACACACGTGTAGTTTACACCTGATCTAGCACTTGGTTGAAGAAATGTGTGTAATTTTTCAGTGTCCAGGTTTTGGCTGCTCCTGCTGGATCTCAGCAGGGGGGTGAGCTGAGCTCCCCGACATGCAGTGGGGGGCTTAAAATCCACTGATTCCACCTGTTTCCTAGTATCAAGTTGCTTCAGCTATTTATATCATGTAGAAAAGACCAAATCCTCCTCAGAGTGCTGTGTTAAAAAAAAAAAGACATCCAGCAAAGTCCAGGAAAGAAAATCAAAAATCCCACTTCATACTAGGAGGAATCCCCAGTTGCCTGGTGGCAGAGCGAGTGTTCTCTTCCATGTATTTCCACTGAGCGAGAGTCAGCTATTGGCAAAAGGATCCTACAGGAGGCAGAGCCGTTTCTCTCCCACAGAGCCCGGTTAATTACACCATCGCTTCAGGATGACAGGAGGAAAGACCGAGCTCCATTGAGGAGAGAAGAGAAGAGAAGAGACTGAGAGATGGAGAGGAAAAAAAAAAGAAGAGGTAGCAGTGACACAGCGACCGCTCGCTTCAACGACTGCTCAGCCTGTGACTACACAGCCTGAAACACACTGCACTCTGCTGCCCTGCTCCCTCTCTCTCTCTCTAAGTCGTGGTTAGCAGCAGGTGTGGCTTAGATCAGGACTGACATATGTGGAGGGAAGCTCAACACATCGACACAGTATGCTCCTCCAGCCTGCCTCTTTATTTCTCTGCATGTCTTACTTTCTTTTCACACAAAAATGCCCTTCTGGGGAAGCTATGTACTCTCATCTTCAGTTTAAGGTTGCCAGTTCAGTGTGATAATAATGCCTGCATGTGGAGAACTTGAATCCCACAGGCAAAAAGTGACAGTGTCTTGAAATGAAGCAAATCACTCCTTCAGTATCCATGTGGGTCACATTTAACAATGTGAGTCCCATAGCAAGGAATAAATCATATCAGCCTACTTTAAAATATACGTTTTTGTTTAATGAAAAATAGGATTTAAGGAGTGTTTTTTTGGACCAGCTTTTTCACGTGATGTATGTAATGTGTGAAGTATTTTGTAAGGTGTAATTTTAGCCATGTTAGCAGCATGGCTCTAGCAATCCACGACAACAACAACTTTTCGATGGACGACAATGAAATGTTGTACACGCATTCATGTTGCCCAGAGGATGAAGCTAACTGACTGGTGATCCTCTGGTTTTTCATCTAGCCACTGGCAGGTGAAGGTTTTCACTTATTCAGTGAAATATTTCAACATTTACAACAACAGCAACTCAAAAATTATTAGACTACCGTGAAATTTTGTACAAACATTCCTGGTTTCCAGATGATGTATCCCAGTGACTTCGGTGATCCTGACTTTTCCTCTAATGCCCCAGTAAGGTTGACTTTTGTGGTTTTGAGTGTTCGTTGAAAGGACTAGATGTTGCAATCCCTAGTGTAGCACCACTTCTAATTCATGGGAAGTTCTTGAAAGATGGCTGCTATGAGGCTTTACCGCCGGCACACATCGTCAGTTGTGTACCGCAGCATCAATGGGTGTTTCGGCCATTTAACACAAGACACCCTCCACTGAGGCAGGCCCACCACAGGTTGATCAAGCCTGGGTGTGTGTCCCGGGGTTAGCTGTTTGCCTTAGCGGCCCAGATGGTGTCGTTTCTCTTCAACCGCAGCCAGTGACTCGTCCTCTCAGCGGTGTTGGCCAGCTCTTTAATGGCCTGTCTGTGAGCCTGTCCCCTGACTCCAACCTCCCTAAGGAGCTTTGCTGTTGTACTGGCTACAAAGCCCCTGTACCCCACCTCCACCGGGCGCACCTTTACTTTCCAGCCTCTGTCCTCTGCCTCAGCTGCTAAGATGGAGTACCGCAGCTTCTTGCGCTCATACACTTCTTCGATGGCGTCCTCCCAGGGGACTGTCAGCTCAATGATGTAAACCAGCTGGGAGGAATTAGACCAAAGGACGAGGTCTGGTTGCAGGGTGGTTGTCGCGATCTCCAGGGGGGAAGATGAGCCTCTGATCCAAGTCGACTCTCAACTGCCAGTCCCTGGCTGCATTCAGTGGGCCCAGATCAGGGGTGAAATATCTTGACAACTATTAAGGCCCAGGCGCGCCACACCAACATTGAAGAACTCGTAGCAGCGAAGGCCAACTGTTGTGTAGCTTCACGGCGCCTATGTCTTGGCCACAAAGTCGCTCTTAAAGACACCGCAAAGACCACGGCCAACCAGCATGTACAGTCAGTGCCTGCATGAGTGGAAATAACTCCATAGCAGCAGGTGGCAGTAGTCTGTATATGTCATTCAAAAAGGGAAATCGGAAGACCGACAGAATAAATTCAAGACACTAGTTTACCAGTTAGGAAAACAACCCAATGTTGAAAGAACGAAAGATATATTCTATGAGTGAGGGAACAATAATGTGAACAGTTACAAACCATTTCTGCTAAGAAGATCAATGGCACAAAATAACCTCACCTAATATAACAAGTTTATTGCAAAGTCATGCTCCCTTGACCTCAGCCATTAGTTTACTTTCCTTACTTCCTTTTCTCCTCTCATGCACTGAACTAAGCTGCCAATCAGAGTGATGTCACTCACTGGCAACAGCTCCGCCAGAAAAAAGCCAATGATGGCTGAAAAGTGCCAATGGTGGGGGACACACTGCAAAAACTAGGGCAGCACACGGTCACGACAGCCTGAAATTACCCAACAGCCGACCACCAGCTTGGTGAGTCAGGGCCCTCAGATGGATTGCCATTAAAAACTGGTACAGACATTCGCATCCACTTCAGGGTGAATTGTAATAACTTTGGTGATGCCTTAACTTTTGATCTAGGGTCCTCATCAGGTCGAAGTATACCTTATCATACCTTGCTACCTCAGTTACTTTAGTTTATGACCAAATATCTGCGAAACTAATGACATTCACATCAGCCTCAGCTGCAATTCAGCAAATGTTAGCATTCTAAAATGGTGACCATGTCAAACATTATAACTCCTCAGCAACAGCATGTTAGCATAGCTATTTTGAGCATGCTGATATTAGCATTTAGCTTAGTGCAGCCTCACAGAGCTGCTAGCTTGGCTGTAGACTTTTTAATTTACTTAACCTCACAACCCACTGGCTATCAGTCTGACAACAATTTAGCCTTTGGGGGCAACGACCAACATGTCAGGAGCAAAGACTTCCTCCTCCTTGCTCCAGTCATTGTTTACTAATTCCTATAAACATATATCTACATATGAATGCAGATTAAAAAAAAAGACACACAATAATAATAAAATCTAATAAAAAGCTAAATCGGGGTCAGACAACAGCTGATCGGTTACAAAAGCACATTTTGTCCAATATTTTCCACCTTTTTTGCAACCAGAGCCTGCTCAAACTTTATTTATCCATAGTAATAAACAGAATATAAACACAACAAGAAGGCTACCAAGACCCTAATTTTGTTATATTGCCAACTGACTGCAGTTCTACGCAGATATCTGTTTATAGACATAATGCTTTACATGAGTGCTGATAAAGTTCATGAAATTTCAATGATTGTATGCATTCAAAAGTAAAGTACTTTATAATGGGAGACAGGTGTAGAATAAAGATTGATGGCTGGACAAAATTCTGATAATGGAAGTATTATTCAAAAATTAAAAGGGAAAGACAGCAACTAGGTCTTCTTAAGTCTTTCACCCAAAAACAGTGTTTTACCTAATGAGCTAACACAACCACACACACAACACTATAGATGTTAGAGCTTCTCCAATGTCATCAGAAATTCGTCTAACAACAAAAAATAAGCAACATATGTCAGTCAGAGTGCAGATTATAACGCTTTGCACATTTCTGATTAACTGCCCAACTGATTGACAAACAATTAATCTGACAGCTAAACTGGAACAAATCAGTGTGCCAAGCTCCAAGTGCTGTTTCTTCATTTCAGGAAGTACAGTATAACAGGCACTGACACTGAAAATTTTGTATTAATAGACTCTTCTCTGTATTCACTCGCTTCTCTGACTGTATTTAGCTTCCCCTTTTTACATACAACAATGGCCAATTAGTGGACTAGTGTCAGATCAGCCTGACTCCCGGCAGGCTTAGTGAAGGCTACCAAGGGGCTGACTCAAATCCTGCTGCAGAACCACCGAAAAAAGACTGGACAGAGAGGGTTTTGCATTTTCTCCTCTTCTCTTCCATCACCAGTTAATTTAAGAATTAGCATACAGATTTGTAAGTAAACTGAGATTTGTAAACAGTTAAGTCCAAAACCCAAGATACCTGTAAAGCCTTTCAGCACATTAGCACTGGATACTGTTTGACTTTTACAAAACTCTTGAGTGTTAACTTTTCTAGTTAATTAAAATCTTGATGACACCAAATGTAATTACAGTGAGGCAAAAATTTGAATTTTAAATGTCTTCCCACAGAAGTTTGTTAACCAACTCCAAACAACATTTAAAGAAGAGCAGCTCATCATGCTTTGAAAGCCAAGTACAAAAAAATGAATGTGTGTACTACGGCTGCAACTAATGATCATTTTCATTAATGATTAATTGAATGATCATTTTTGTGATGATCATTTGGTGCTTAAAATGGCACAAAATGGTGAAATATGCCCGCACCCTCTAGCCCATAATGATGTTTCCAAATTGCTTGTTTTTTCAGACCAGTCCGGAACCCAAAGATATTTAAATTAACTTTCACAAAAGACAAAGAAAAGCTGCATCCTTAAATTTGAAAAGCTAGGACAAGGGAATGTTGTCAAGTTACGGACCTCATAATCTAAAATGTCAATCGCATGGTGGCAGTACGATGACCAGAGTTAGTTTGATACATCACCTAGAATATAAGAACATCTGTGCCAAACTGGATCCCTCACCATCTAAAGGAGATGGTGTAGTATTGTTGAGATATTTCACAGGAGAGAACTATGATGAATGGGTATATGTGTATGAAATTCATGGCTAAAAACCTCCATCTTAACAAGTAATTAACTCTGACATCTCTGCTTTCTTTAAATGACAGAGAAACATCTTAAACACAGTAGCTGCCTACCACAACCCAAACCAAACAAATTACCAGAAATTACCAGCACTGGAAACACGAGCACCCGTGAGTCACCAAATACTGCAGAGCGCTTTTCAGTATTCCAGTTCAATGTGAAAAGATCATCTCAGTTCATACTGCAGCTAACCAGAGGGGGAGATGGCATTAGAAAGTACACACACACACACACACACACACACACACAC